ACGACTCACGGTAAGCGGGCGCTAAACCGGACTCTCCGTTCGCCCTCCCAACTCTTTCCCCAAACAAGAGAAGGTCATCTGAGCGGGGGCGAAACCTAACACAGACAACTGTCTCGCTGAACACCAAGCTCAGAGAGCACCAAGGACTCCGCTTAGAAAATTAAGAACCAAGATCCATCTGTGCATACATTTGTCAGCCCTGCAATTATATTCCTTTTAGAATTTTGGCTTTCTTGGAGCCTGGGGAGGGTGAAAAGCCCCCCCCCCCGGTCCATTTTTCACCTTCCCCAGGCTCCAGAGGCCTTCTAGGAACCCAGGGAGGGCAAAAAAACAGCCTAACACGAAAACTGGAAATCTGTTCCCGAACATCCACTTTGCATGTTCGGGGAAGCGTCAGGAGGGCGAAAAATGGCCCAAAATGAAGGCGGAATGATGAGATGCAAACCGAGGCAGTCCTCGGCTTACGACCAGAATTGAGTTCAACATTTTTGGTGTTCAGCGAGACAGTTGTCTGTGTTAGGTTTCGCCCCCGCTCAGATGACCTTCTCTTGTTTGGGGAAAGAGTTGGGAGGGCGAACGGAGAGTCCGGTTTAGCGCCCGCTTACCGTGAGTCGTTAAAGGCGTTCCATTCTCCAGAGACAGGACTTTTGCAGTAGGCTGTGTAATGGCCACCCATGGTGGTCCCACTGTGGTTGGAGATGGCGTAGAGGTTGTAAATTGCGTGGTCTGGAAACGGAAGAGGGCAAATTACCGCCAGGGGAGACTTACGTTCACTTCTAGCTGTGCAAAAGCCGGAAGCGGCCTCCATCGGAAGCCTGCCGTGGCCCTCCTCTTTCCCCCCCCCCCCCCACACACAGGTCCGCAGAAAATCCTCCCTCCATGAAAGTGGCTCCTGGCATCCAAAAGTTTGGGGGTTGCTGGCCTAGATGACCCCCCCACACCCCCAGCACACACCCACATCACCCTGGCTGGTTCTTCCCAACCCTGCAGGCGATACTCACTGCAATTCTGAGAGGCAAATTCCCGTAGATCCAGATCCTTAAGTGGGAAATTGACAAAAGTGGTGAGTTTGCTGGATCGCATCCTGGCTTCGGAGAAACGTTTCAGGTCTGGGCGAGGAATTAAGGAAAAAGGGGGGAGGGCCAAATGGTTCCCACAAGCGAAGGAGGTTTGTTTATTTTATCATCATCATCATCATCATCATCAATCATCATCATCTTTTAACAACCCCATGGTCTCTTGTGGGGTGGAATCTGGGCAACTGAAGGAAGCTAGCAGAGTGTTTCCATGGCCGGATGCCCTTCCTGTCGCCAATGTGGAGTTTTGTTCAGCAGATATATTCTCGAACTCACAGCCTCCTGATTGTGAGGCGAGAGCACCACCTCTAGGCCACCACACCACTCTTTTATTTATTTATTTTATATCCCACATTGATTATTTTTACAAATAACTCAAAGCATCAAACATATGCGACACAATTTCCTCCTGCTCTTTTCCCCACAACAACAACAACAACCCTGTAAAGTGGGAGAGAGGAGGACTAGCCCAAAGTCACCCAGCCAGCTTTCATGGCTAAGGCAAAACTTGAACTCGGGATCTCCTGCTTTCTAGCCTAGCGCCTTAACCGCAAAAAAAAAAAAAAGTAAATAAAAAAGGTTGAGGCTGTAATTTGTGTGTGTGTGTGTGTGTGTGTGTG